AGTAATCCACAACGGGAAACTTACGGAATCCTTCTAAGTGAGGGCGGAAGTAAGACTAGACTGCCTTCTTTCGCCAATGATTTTCCTGATTGCAGTAGACTGAATAATGAGACAGACGACGGGCAATGACGAAACAGGCATAAAATGAACCCACACAAAACAAGAACTTGGAGGATCTGGACTTCGCCGATGATATATGTCTGATTTCCCACAAACTGGAAGATATGCAAGTGAAAAGCAACAAGTTGGCACAAGAAGCATCAAAGATAGGACTTCCTTCAGGTGAACATAGAGAAAACAGAGGTAGGTGATGAAGATTCCTGGCCAACACCACCACCACCAACAACAACAACAGACAACAATCAGCCAGCATAAATGGGAGGAATCTGAAAGAAACAACCTCCTTTACCTACCCACCCACTTGGGAAGCATCGTTTCAACTACAGGCGGACGGAGCTGATGAGGATATCAAAGTGAGGATCGGAAAAACAAGACAAGCTTTCATTACTCACGTCAAGTCTGTGTGGAGGTCAACAGCCCTACTCAGCATCAAAATGGAAATAATACCCGGATTTTCAACTCCAATGTGAAGTCAGCGCCACTATACGGATCAGAGACTTGGCGCTGTGTCATATAGAGCGTCTCAAACAAACTACAGGCCTTCATTAACAGCTGTCTTTGCTCAGTACTACTCAAGATCAGATGGCTGGCCAGAAAAGATCAGCAACCGGGAGGGATCTCTGGGAGCGAACCAACCTAACAGGAACCAATTGTGCGATACATAGGCAGGAAGAAATGGAGTTGGTTTAGAGGTCATACTCTGAGGAAACCATCAAGTGACATCACACGTCAGGCCATCCCTCTAGTGGAACCCGAAAGGGAAGCGGCGAGTTGGTCGTCAGTGCAAGGGTGACTTGGAGGAGGTCATGTGAAGAGGAGATGAAGCCATGTAGGCAGACTTGGAGCGGGGTGAAAATGTTGGCAGAAAACCGAAGGCAATGGAGACTTGGGCGGCTGTAGCCCTATGTTCCTCTAGGAATTGAAGAAAATAATAATAATACAGTGTGGAATTTTCAGCATTTGGTACAATATTACCGCATCTAACGCATTCAACAACGACATCCTCATCCGTTCCTCCTGTAGTTGAGACAATGCTCCCTACATAAGTGAATGCAGTAAGCTCTTTCAAATCCCTCCGGTTGATGGTGATTAGCGCTGGATGTTGGTGCTGTTTTTGTTGTTGGTTGGTTATTTTCATAACCTCCGTCTTGTCTATGTTCACATGGAGTCCTGTCTTCGCCGACTGCTTCTTCGACCAGTTTTTCGGTCGGTTTTCGCTTGTAAGTCTTCGACTTTGTGTGACACCAAACATAAATCATCCACACGCGAAATCCAGGTCTTCTAGGTTCTCCACATCGGTCCAGGATATTCCTGTCTTCTCCTTTCCCACTGTCTGACGCATAATCCAGTCAGTCCACCACAATTAGGAATATCATTGGTGATAGTAAGCACCCTTGTCTGACTCCTGTGTTTACTCGAAACGCCTTGCTGAGTTTTCCGTTGTGGATCACTTGACATGTGCCGTTGTCATACAGCTGTTGAATAAGGTTGATGAATATTTGGGCACCGTACGCCGTAGTACTCGACTAATTTCCAAATTACTTCACGATCAACGCTGTCGAAGGCCTTCTCAAAGTCTATAAAGTTGAGATAGAGGTTTGATTGCCATCCCATGCTTTGTTCTGTGATGATGATGCGTGGAGTTGCGATTTGGTCAGTACATGATTTGCCTTTCCTGAATCCAGCTTGTTCTGGTGTGGTGGAGTTCTGTATCCAGTGCGTCCTTTAATCTCTCCAGGATGATGCGACTCAGGATTTTACTTGGCGTTGACAGGAGCATGATTCCTTGCCAGTTCTTGCAGAGTCCTAAGTCGCGCTTCTTTGGTAGTTTGGCGAGGTTTTTTTAATAATATAACTTCCACATTAATATATGTTTCAGCAATTGAAAAATACTTATCGGATGTGAAATGTATAGTTTTTTGGTCGTTTGGCAACATAAAATTGGATGTGGCACAAAGAGGCACACTTTAATTGAACACTAGTTAGTAACTAATGTAATGTGTCGTCTAATCCTTGTTGTTGGTTTCGCACTATTTGGCGCTCATCAGTCAGCAAAGCGTATCTGCGACCAACTTGAAGGAACTCATGTCCCTCCTCAGACTCATTCCCGTGTCACCACCCAGTGAGTGCTGCAGTCAGTCAGAGACGTTACCCTGAGCTATACGGGCTTGCGACTGACCTCTTGTAGGACTGACTGTATTAGTTACTTTGACTGGACACTAGTCTGTAACCTATGTAATATGTCTACTCCTTTGTTTACTGCAGAGCGAATTCTATCAGTAGTCAAGTTTGCAATGTGGCCACTATGCTACCAGGTGGCTCACCATCATGGTGCACTTTAAATTGTTGATATCAGTTGCAAACATGACTGATAGAAGTCAGTCTGCACCAACACCAAGGTCCAGATACACTACACTAGTTACTAACCAATGTCCAATCAAAGTACCCAATACAGTCAGACCTATAGGAAGTCATTCGCCAGTCCGAATAGATCAGTGATAATGTCTCTGATTGTCTGTAGCACTTACTGGGTGGTGACGCGGGTTCGAATCTCAGGAGGGACATGAGTTCCTTCCAGGTGGTTGCAGATACGCCTGCCTTGTTGACTGACTGTCACAAGTGCCAACTGGCACGAAACCTAGGTTGAGTGTGGCTTCCTTCTGATTGCCTCCAACCATCTAATATCAAAAATTCACAATGCATCTAGATGGCAAACCACCTAGTCTGGCATAATGGCCACATCACAAAGCTTACTTGATAGAATTCAGTCTGTATCGAACAAAGGACTAGACATATTACACTGATTACTAATTATTGTTCAATCAAAACCACACTGTCTGTTTAGAATTCAGCTCATCAGAAGAGGACATGAAGAAAACTCTTTTCGTATAGCCTAGTCACTGCTGACTGGCCCTATTCAGGTAGGTAGTTTTACCTGGCGTTCCAGTAGGAAGTCGTGACCAGGTTGGGTGTAAGAACAAATACTCGCCAAAGACATTGGTTAGCGGTTGCGCTATATTGTGAATTGGCAGAAGTTAGAATTCATGAGCCACTGGAATGGCGTGTCCCAGTGGCTGGCTTAATGGTCTACGAGCTAGCTCGCCTTGTTACCAGAAGGTCCTGTGTCCGAACCCTGGTGGTGGGTGCGTACTGATGAGGAGTCCCAAACTAGTCTGACAAACACCTGTCCAGTACTCCCAGGTTTCCCAATGGTTCTCTAACCAATGTAAGCTCGTAATGAAATCCAGTAACCCAAAGACAGTTAAGTTGAAGAAATAACTATTCTGGTATACTTGGCTAAGTCAGGCTTAAAATAGGTTAACCTAGGATAACAGATATTATTCCTATCGTTAGTAAATATAGAATGATAAGAACACTATAATGGGAAATCTGAGTGTAGATGGCTCGGAGGTGGGATGTTCTCCAACCACGAATCATATGCTTCAACGTTCGATCCCCAGCCAACGCACACTCAAACCCCGCTTAGCCGCTAATAAGCAAAGCAAAGAGGGAAGGAAGATTAAGCGTGTGACAAGCAACCTCACCATGTAAAAATAAAACCACTTCTACCAAAACCTCAAAACTCAAGTTTGTTCCTCTGGACCACATGTATGATTGGTCAGTGTTCTACAAGTGAACCACCAGTGTAAGTCTACATTTCCACCGTATTCTCCTTTATTTCAGAGTGATCCCTTTAGGTATCAGTTTTTGAGGATGACATATATCAACCCTGTAGGGATTCATGACTAGAGGTGATCTGAACATGTAACTGGTTCCCAACTACTTATATCAATCAGTAGTATATAGAGAACCTTGAAAATTTGTTTTCTATTTGAATTTTCATTAGTTGTAACAAGCAGATCACATTTTTCAATTTAAGCATTTCAAATCTTTTACAGTTCATAAACTCTTGCATCCTACCTATTCTTCTTTATTGTTCACCCTTATTCTTTCCTGGTTTGCTTAAAAAGGACTATGTCACAATTCGTAGAATGCTGAAAACGGTCAGCAGGGTGAGTGGTGTCCCAGTGGACCACATAGTTAACATCGTAGTCGATAGGCACTTGACTTCGTGCAATAAATTTGCTAAAGGGATTTTATATGACTTGGAGCATCCACTTTACCTTCCCTCAGCTTTCACCTTGCATCTCCTCAGGTAGAACAAGATTTAACTTCAGAAAACTGTATGCTTGCACGTCTAAGCATAAAAGTTCTATGTTACCATACTTGGCACGTATTTTATGTGATGAAAATAGTGTCAGGCAAGAACTAACTAACCTTTTTTCATCTAGTAAATAAACAATTTCCTCCATCCATCCTTATATACTTTCAAGTTTTACTTTTATTACTTCTATTATATTTGTGGTCCTGTTACTTCTTTGTTTGTTTTACTCTCATAATTGCAAACACCAACTTATCTCTATGACTGTTGTAATCTTTGTTTTTCCCCTCACCATCACCACCATGTAAAGAGAAGATTATATTCACTATTTTTAAACATGTTAGGATTTCTATACCACATTGCCAATATTGTGTGAAACAAGCCCACGGCAATTATTGCTATTTCCATTTTATATGCTGCATGTTTTTGACACTACCTCTATTGTAAATGTGGAAAATTTTCTGTGTGATTAATTTTTATTTATAATTTGAGGAAATTAGATGCAATATTGTGATTAATGCTGAAAATTCCATTCTGTATCACAAGTACTGTTTTTGGGATAAAGTAAATCATTATTATTATTATTATTAATTCTATCATAAACCTATACACACTATACATGTATCTTGTAACACCATATATTTGTATACATGCTCTGTGATATATTGTGTCAAAATAAATTTTAATTTTCATGTTTCTTTCATTTTTGTTAAATCAGATAGTGGATGTTGAAGTCGAAGGTACACAAAGAATTAATAATATTCTTGGTGAGTGTTTAGGATTTGAAGATAATGAACTTGGTAAGTATAATACAACTTTTTGCAAGTTTAATTATATACATTTCTTGAACCTCTTGAGTTAGTAAATATAATTTTTAAAAATTACTCTTCAAGTAATAAAAACATAATTGGTCTACAGTGAGTGACTTTCAGTGTTCATTGATTCTTTAAGTGATTTACTGATTTGTCATGGCGTCCCTATTCAAAAATAATACTTCACTTCCTGCATATTCTTGATGACGAAACGGTGTTTCAAATCAGTTCTGTGTGTTATTCCAGTATGGGTAAAATTAATTCTAATAAAGTCTGACAGTGTTGTGCAGTAATATTTACTGATGATGACGTTTCGAGCACCTCAATTTATTACTGCAGCTCATAATCATATCAAGGCACTACTCACACAACTTTCTAACTTCATTTATATAATTCCATTACTTCAATTCATCGCTTGACTTGATTGGTAGTAGTATTTTGTCATATTTCCGGTAAGTGTGATGATTCATTGCATCCTATTGCACGTGTTGGGTGTAGACTTGATGAACCAGGTAGGATTCAGTAATCTCTCTCTCTCTCCACTTACCTAGATTACTTTTCAGAATTTTAACCCTCTCCCAACTACCCTATTGTGTGGTTGTGTGTTAATGCATGCATTGCAATTGCTAAGCTTTTTTCTACATTACTTATCTTTGCGGGGTCAAACATTCTTACCTCACATGGAGGATTTCATCATGAGCTGACATCAGTTAGAGAACCACTGGAAAACCTGGGAGAACTGGACATCTGTTTCGTCCTAGTTTGGGACTCTTCACAGTATGCACCCACCAGGACCCAGGACCTTCTGATTACAAGGCGAGCTCGTAGACCCTTGATCAACTGGGACCCAATCCAATGGTCCCAAACTAGGACGAAATAACTGTCCAGTACTCTCAGGTTTTCCAGTGGTTCTCTAACTGATGTCAGCTCATGATGAAATCCTGTAACCAATCAGTCAAATCCCTACAAACTAATACTTGAAAAATATTTAGTTGCTTATACAATAATAATGCAGTGTTATGAAGATAAAGGTATCCAACTCTGCAATGACCAGTAGTGACATAACCTAATAGACTGTGAGCAGTACGAACCTAATGTGTCTGTAATCCAGCGGTAGAACACACGACATTTACGACTCTTATGGTCCAGAGTTCGACCCCGGTCAACACATACCCAGACTTCATTTAGACGGTAGTAACACCGGTATAAAGGAAAATTTTGGCATAAGACGAGCGACCCCACTCCGCATAAATAAAGCCACTACTATTGAAACTTCAGAGCTAAAGCTTGAAGCCTCCTTATGTTCCACTAGGAACTTGAAAAGGAAGACAAGAGACAGACAGTGGAGACGCGGGTTTAAGTAACCCTGACAAACATTTAGTTCACTGATAAGCCTAAAGAGTTAACAATTAATGACAGTTCAATTTTCATAAGCAGTAGGATATACCAAATGCGTGATGAGTGTATGATAACTGTAAAATATGGTTATTCTAAAGTTTGAATAAGGCAAGAACGACACATGTGTGTGTGTAACAGGATAAGTGAGCTCACTTTTCCTTATTATTATTTCGAGGATTCTTCTCAACTGGCTACATACAACCTGAACAATACAAGATCAATATAAATTACATCAAAGTCCTCAACCATACTTTCTCCACGATGACAAAGAGTAATTGGTAGGGACTAAGTGATATACTAATCAGAAATGATGTAAGCTGTTGTTAAATAATTAAGAGTGAAAAGGATCGACTGTTTATACAGAAGTTGGATGACTACGCTTGGAAACAAAAGGATAGAGTTCAACAGTTTATCTGTGGGTAAAAACAAAGAGTATACCAGGCAGCAGGTTACGCAACCACAGAAAATATGTCTCTATAAAATAGTCAAAAAGGAGGAGGTGGGTAGGGTGATTCATGTTTAGACGGAAAATACAGTTTTCTAAACAGGATAGAAGATGACATAGTAAGATATTTTGTGTACTTTGTTATCACCAAGACAGTGCAACATTCCCCACAGTCTCTTTCTGCGTATATATATATATATACAAAAGAACATATCATGTCGCCAAGCTTGTATGTTTAAGACAGTTAAAAGTAGAAAAACTTCCACCTCATGTTACCTCCAACTGCATCTACCAATTCACATATATGTGTGAAGGCACATACATTGGAAGCACAGAGAGAAGGTATACTGTCGTCACTTCTGAACACATACCAAAGGACGTGAGACTAAAAGGCTCACTGACATTAAATAGTGCGATTGCACTCCATCTGTTGGTCATTGACCAAGTTGTGGACAATCTAAAGGCGTTCAATATAATCAACAGGCAAAAGAAATTTAGTCTGTTTCATTTTTCTGAAGCAATCACCATCAAACAATCAAAAGCACATCTATGTACACAGAAAGAGACAGTGGCGAATGCTGCACTACCTTGGTGATAAAGTATACAAAAAGTCTTACTATGTCACCTTTTTTCTTGTTTAGAAAATTGTATTTTCCGTCTAAACATAACTCACTCTACCCACCCCATCCTTTTTTTGACCATTTTACAAAAAGACATTTTTCTGTGATTACGTCACCTGTATTCTCTTTCTAGTTAAAATTTGTTTCTACCCACAGATAAACTGTTGACCTCTGTCTTTTTGTCCCCAAGCAAAGTCATCCAACTTCCTTATAAATAGTCGACCCTTTCACTCTTGATTATTTAACAACAGCTTCCATTATTCCTGACTTGTGTTCCACTCAGTCCCTACCAATTACTCTTTGTCATCGTGGAGAAAGTATGGTTGAGGACTTTGATGTAATTTATATTGATCTTGTATTGTTCGGGTTGTATGCAGCCAGTTGAGAAGAATCCTCGAAATAGTAATAAAGAAAAATGAGCTCACTTATCCTGGTACACACACATGTGTCATTCTTGTCTTATTCAAATTTATCAATGGAACGGATTGTATGACAATTTGAAGGGATTGACAAAACTCTAGGCAAAAAAATTAAGGATATGCAGCAATTTTCTAATATGACTTGAGAGAAGCACTTCCTAGTTATACCCATATGCCATCTTAAAAATTATCTGAACACTGACTGGCCTACTTACTGCCTAACGCTTTCAAGAGTACGACAATAACAAAAGTTGTTTCAGCTTAACCCCTTTCAAACGGTGATTATTCATTCCTTTTATATTTCGAGTAGAATATAGGCCTCCAGGTTTTCTTGAAATTTTTTACTACCGGTAGCGTTGTTTATTTCTACAGGGTGATTTTGTTAGCCTCACACACCCAAACATCTCTGTTTTATTCAGACTTACTATCAGCAAGTAATGTAGGCGAGGTTTACGCATCCATCCATCCATCCATCCATCCATCATCCAGGGAACTAGGCGGGGACCACACACACACACACACACACACATGGTTGATAAGCATTCTACAAAAACTGAACCATCCCGACTTATCAAATACCAAGATTTAATCCTATTTGTATACCACCCACAAATTACCCGACAATTAAGATTGATGAGAAAAAATATCACAATTCATTATGAAATTACCGGTTCTAAATCAATAATATAAACAATTTTTAAAACAAAATGTAATCACATTATAATATCAAATTGTAAAAGCATACTGATATTCAAGTGTTGGTATGAAAGGATTTGACTGGTTACAGGATTACATCATTAACTAACCTCCGTTAGAGAACCACTAGAAAACCAGTACTCGAGTACTGCACAGCTAGCTGTTTTATCAACCTAGTTTGGGACTAACTCTTCATCAGTGCTCACCACCCACCCCACTACCATGGTTTCAAAACCACGACCTTCCAGTTAAGAGAAGAACTCGTAGACTATTGAGTCACTGGAACCCACCAATTCATGACATAGCGTGACTGGCATTAGCCAATGTCACCACTGGCGAGTATTTGTTCTCACACCCGGTCTGATGTACCCCACTGGTCACGACTTGCCACTACAAGCCAGGTTACTGCCTACGTGAAATACGGCCAGCCGATAATGGCCATCAAATTGACGAATATTGATAAATACCTATTTGACAGCTTGACTAATTAGTGTAGGTGAATCACCTAACAACCAGAAGAACACAAATTGAAAACTGCAACTTCATCTAAACGAGTTTTAGACGAAGACAGGCAAGTATTATTATCAATTATTAACTCTGAAACAGTACGTGTTACTCGTTATTGTAATAAAATGTTTCCCTTGATAAACAGTGAAGCTGTATTAAGCTTAAGTGATAATAAAAAGATGAGTTTTTGCTCAAAAATTACTGGTCATATCATTTGTCTTGGGCATAGTTTATAACACTTGCATAGATTTCACAAGGGATAATGACTACTATTTATTATTCCCTTAAGTTTCGAGTAGAACATACAGCTTCCACAACACATCGCCACCTTGTTCGATTTTCTGCTGTCCTCTTTTACCTGCGTCCACAATTGCCCGTAATCTCTCATCTCCTACTCCTCCTCCTCCATTTCACCCTCGTACACTGATGACCCACTCATCACTTTCCACTGGGATTCGAATCGATGGCTTTCCCGGCGCTCGATGTCATTCCACGGCATCCTCAGTGGTGTAGGCCTGATCCATCTCCATTTTCTCCTACATATTTGTTGGACAATAGGCTCTTGCTACGTTTGTTCCACTGTAGAGTTTCTTGTTGTTCTTCAACAAAGAGCCAGCGAAAACAGCTGATGATAAAAGTCTGTAGCTTGAGATACTGATTAGAGTTGGAAAAAAAATAAGATGAGACCACTTCTGAACTAACCACTTCTTGACTGGTAATCTATAGATGCAGAAAACATTGATTTAATTATTTAACTCAGTTTGAACTTTCCTGTTAATGGACTGGACCTTGAAGTGCCAGGATTCTGCTGGTATGTCATTTCCTTGTGCGGATGCTTTAATGATGTCTGATGACTTAACCTGAAGTAATTTAGCGGGGCGGTGACTAGCAATGGAATCCAGGGTAACGCGCATTACATTCTCCTATTTGGCACTGGTTCGTCAACTGGTTGTTGGTGTATTCCCCAATGAATCAGTGATAGTGTTCCCACTGAGGCTAGCATCTATACCCGTTGCAGGTTGTAGACGAGACAGTAACTCATTATCGAAGAAGACATTGCGAAGTGGTCGTGCTATGTCATGAATTGGCAGAGTTTGGAATTCATGAACTGACCATTGGATCGGTTGGATCCCAGCAGCTTAATGGTCTACGAGCTAGCTGCTCGCCTTGTAATCAGAAGGTGGTAGGTTTGAATCCTGGCAGTAGGTGGGTGCGTGTACTGATGAGGAGTTAGTCTCAAACAAGGCTGACGATAACAGCTGGCTGTCCAGTACTCTCAGGTGTGGTTTTCCAATGGTTCTCTAACTGATGTCAATTCATGATGAAATCCTCCAACCAATCAATATCTTTCTTCCTATTTTAGTTGGTTTTTTCAACTGTCATAACGCATTGAACCAACCAGGTATTGTTATTTTTAATTTTCCATTTTTTTAGCATTCTACATTTACGAACTGGCGAAATCCTCCTATCTCCCACGGGATTTAGAATATCATTTAAATAGTAATAAATTATTTGATTTCAATTTACCTAAAAATTTAATCAGTAAACTATGGAGAGTAGCAAATCTACAAGAATACTCGACAACTAATCCACGATCACCACAGAATCATAGAAAGATAAATTACAAGCCTACCTCTGATTTGAAAACAAATCTTTAAACTGAAAGACTGACAAACATCCTGCTGAAGACAAATTTATCACTTTACCCTTTTATTATTTATGAAATATTTAATCACTAGCTCTGTTGTACATTGATTATGAAGTCAATTTTCTAATTAATTTTCTATCATTTTACATACATACACACACACACACAGGTAGGTCGCATTAATCAATTTGATGTGGATGAGTTGATGTAAAGATTTCATTCGCCTCCTTCTTTTGTGTGCCGATGTGTGTGCATGTGTGCTAGGATATTTTTTGCATTGTAATTTCTTCCTTTCCTTTCTTTACTTTTTGATTATCCTTTTGTATTATTGTTAGCTTGCCTCTCTCTCTCTCTCTCTCACCATCTCTGCTTATGCTTAAATAACTATGCTCAAAAATAATACGCCTAATTTATTTAATTGAATTTTTGATTTTCCTGTCGATTGTTTGATTGAACCGAAATGCTTGGTCTACTCAGGTTGACATGTCGGCGGTTTCTCCTTGTGCAGATGCTTCGACGATGTATCTGGGCATTTAGTTAGTATGTGATTGATGGATGGTGACTAGCAGTGGATGGAATCCAGGAATAACACGCATTTAACCTGTCCTATTTGAGACTCGTCCGCCAGCTGAATGTACCTGCATTTCTCAGTGAGTGATGATGTTCCCCCCCCCCCACACACACACACCGAGGCTCTAACCCAGTACCCATAGTGTTTCAAACGCCAAAATTCAATTAAATAATTAATATGACCCGTTGCACAGCACAAAAGGTGGCTCTCGTGACCCAAGTGGTCTAGTGGATAACCTGCTTTGGCGTTTGAAACTATGGGTACTTGGTTTGAGCCTCGGTAATGGGAACATCATCACTCACTGAGAAATGCAGGTACATCCAGCTGGCGGACCAGTCCCAAATAGGACGAAATGCGCCTTATCCTGGATTCCACTGCTAGTCACCATCCACCAATCAAATAATACGCCTATGTATTATCAATTGTGAGTAACACTGTTTATTTTATTGACCCAGTGGATTAGTGGATTACACGTTGGTGTTTGAGACTCTGTGGGTGTTGAGTGGGAGTGGGGTAGGGTGAAGCGGGGCGGGCGTCGGCACGTAGCTATATCTGTGGTGGTGTGATACGGACGATGTGTCCCAACGGAATTTTATTCTATATATATTCCCACAGTTCGATTCAACATTAACAACAGAATATAATATTTTCAAGTATTGGTTTTGTAGGGAATTTGTTTGATTGTATAGAGCATTTCATCATGTGCTGACATCAGTTAAAGAACCACTGGAAAACCTGGAAGTATTGGACAGCTGTTTCGTCCTAGTTTGGGAATCTTCATCAGTACGTATCCACCGGGACCTTCTGGTTACAAGGCAAGCGACCTCGTATACCACTGAGCCACTGGGACCCGATCCAATGGTTCTTGAATTCTAACTTCTACCCATTCACGACGTAGCGCGACCATTTCTCAATGTCTTCTTCGATGAGTTACTGCCTCACCTTCGATCAGGTCCCAGTGACTCAATAGTCTACGAGGTCGCTTGCCTTTTAACCAGAAGGTCTTGGGTTCGAACCCCGGTGGGTGCGTACAGTGAAGAATCCCAAACTAGGACGAAATAGCTGTCCAGTACTCCAGTTCTGATTTTCCGTTGGTTCTCTAACTGATGTCAGCTCATGATGAAATCCTCCATACGGAATACAATATACCTAATAATAATAATAATCTACCTTATTCCAAAAACAGTATTTATAATACAGAATGCAATTCTCAGCATTTGTCACAATATTTTGCATCTGATTTACTCAAAATATAAATAAACTTAAAACAAAATTAACCAAAGGAATTTGTCCATATTTATGGTATAAAGTCAAAAATATTCAAAGTACAAAATGAGAATAATAAATATAATAATAATAATAATAACAGTGAGTTTGTTTCAAACAGTATTGTCGATTCAGTTTGGAAATCTTAGCATGTTATAGAGAATTGAATCTAATGTTCTCTTGACATGGTATAGTGAGGGGAAATACAAGATTAATAGTGTACACATTTATGAAAAATAAATAAATAAAAACAAGAAATTGAGAGGATTATAAATATAAGAAATACAATAACAATAAAGTTTGGTACTGTAAGGGTGGAAGAAATGGTTCATTTAGCAGTGCGAAGAAGGTTAGTTAGTTAGTTAGTTAGTTAGTTAGTTAGTTAGTTAGTTAGTTAGTTAGTTAGTTAGTTAGTTAGTTAGTTAGTTAGTTAGTTAGTTAGTTAGTTAGTTAGTTAGTTAGTTAGTTAGTTAGTTAGTTAGTTAGTTAGTTAGTTAGTTAGTTAGTTAGTTAGTTAGTTAGTTAGTTAGTTAGTTAGTTAGTTAGTTAGTTAGTTAGTTAGTTAGTTAGTTAGTTAGTTAGTTAGTTAGTTAGTTAGTTAGTTAGTTAGTTAGTTAGTTAGTTAGTTAGTTAGTTAGTTAGTTAGTTAGTTAGTTAGTTAGTTAGTTAGTTAGTTAGTTAGTTAGTTAGTTAGTTAGTTAGTTAGTTAGTTAGTTAGTTAGTTAGTTAGTTAGTTAGTTAGTTAGTTAGTTAGTTAGTTAGTTAGTTAGTTAGTTAGTTAGTTAGTTAGTTAGTTAGTTAGTTAGTTAGTTAGTTAGTTAGTTAGTTAGTTAGTTAGTTAGTTAGTTAGTTAGTTAGTTAGTTAGTTAGTTAGTTAGTTAGTTAGTTAGTTAGTTAGTTAGTTAGTTAGTTAGTTAGTTAGTTAGTTAGTTAGTTAGTTAGTTAGTTAGTTAGTTAGTTAGTTAGTTAGTTAGTTAGTTAGTTAGTTAGTTAGTTAGTTAGTTAGTTAGTTAGTTAGTTAGTTAGTTAGTTAGTTAGTTAGTTAGTTAGTTAGTTAGTTAGTTAGTTAGTTAGTTAGTTAGTTAGTTAGTTAGTTAGTTAGTTAGTTAGTTAGTTAGTTAGTTAGTTAGTTAGTTAGTTAGTTAGTTAGTTAGTTAGTTAGTTAGTTAGTTAGTTAGTTAGTTAGTTAGTTAGTTAGTTAGTTAGTTAGTTAGTTAGTTAGTTAGTTAGTTAGTTAGTTAGTTAGTTAGTTAGTTAGTTAGTTAGTTAGTTAGTTAGTTAGTTAGTTAGTTAGTTAGTTAGTTAGTTAGTTAGTTAGTTAGTTAGTTAGTTAGTTAGTTAGTTAGTTAGTTAGTTAGTTAGTTAGTTAGTTAGTTAGTTAGTTAGTTAGTTAGTTAGTTAGTTAGTTAGTTAGTTAGTTAGTTAGTTAGTTAGTTAGTTAGTTAGTTAGTTAGTTAGTTAGTTAGTTAGTTAGTTAGTTAGTTAGTTAGTTAGTTAGTTAGTTAGTTAGTTAGTTAGTTAGTTAGTTAGTTAGTTAGTTAGTTAGTTAGTTAGTTAGTTAGTTAGTTAGTTAGTTAGTTAGTTAGTTAGTTAGTTAGTTAGTTAGTTAGTTAGTTAGTTAGTTAGTTAGTTAGTTAGTTAGTTAGTTAGTTAGTTAGTTAGTTAGTTAGTTAGTTAGTTAGTTAGTTAGTTAGTTAGTTAGTTAGTTAGTTAGTTAGTTAGTTAGTTAGTTAGTTAGTTAGTTAGTTAGTTAGTTAGTTAGTTAGTTAGTTAGTTAGTTAGTTAGTTAGTTAGTTAGTTAGTTAGTTAGTTAGTTAGTTAGTTAGTTAGTTAGTTAGTTAGTTAGTTAGTTAGTTAGTTAGTTAGTTAGTTAGTTAGTTAGTTAGTTAGTTAGTTAGTTAGTTAGTTAGTTAGTTAGTTAGTTAGTTAGTTAGTTAGTTAGTTAGTTGGTTAGTTAGTTAGTTAGTTAGTTAGTTCATGCCTAACACTATTTTCATCACATAAACTACGTGCCGCCAAATATGGTATAGTGGAATTTCTATACATAGATGTATGTGCATAAAGTTTTCTGAAAAGACTTCTTGTTTTACCTCAGGAGACACAAGGTTTGAACTGCGGGTGCTGGTGTGTATGCTCAGAGTCTGACAAAATTCCCACATCAAGTGTCTATCAATGATAATGTCAACGATATGGGGCTCTATGGGATACTTACAGTCTTTGGAGTTCTACGAAGTATGACATAGTTTTTTTTTAAGCAATCCAGGAAAGAATAAAGGTGAACAGTAAAGAAGAATAGGTTAGATGCACGAGTTGAAAAACTGTAATAGGAGAGGTTGAGTTATGCCTGAGTGTCTTAACTTCTTGAAAATTCTATTTCACGTCGTTTAATATAAACCGAAATTACATGCTCATTGATTCGTCAACGAATATAAATTGAGATATATATATGTAAACAGCGGTTTGATCAATGAACAATATACCTTGGCTTCCGTGTCTTACCTTCCGCTGTTACATTTAGCATTACTGCCTGCCGACAAATGGAAAGCCTATGCCCTGCAGTTTTTTAAAAAGGAGACATGGATATTCGGGCAGGAATTCGAGGCTATTACGCAGTTGAATGGTGTTCAAGCTCTGTCAGCAACGAGGCAGTTACTTGGAACGCTGCTGGGAGGTTGGACGATTGCAGCCTATGACAGTGTGCAGCGAAACACCGGTGAACACGAACCAGCGTCACGCAAACTGACCCCAAAGTGGGAAGCACCATACATGGTTACCGTGAGACGAGGTCACGTAAATATGATCAAAAACGTAAACAAGGAGAAGCGGGTGGATGTCAGTGAGCTCCGGAACTTGATACAGCAGCACAAACTAACAAAACTCCTAGCACCAAGAAGATCAAACTGACTTCAGTCGAAAGTTTTTGACCGGGGGGATGAGTATGGTGGTGTGATACAGACAATGTGTGCCAACGGAATGTTATTCTCACGTGTTTCTACAGTTCAATGCTGCATTAGCAATAGAATAAGATATATCTATGTAAACATTTTATTTCATGTCGTTTCATGTAAAAACCGAAATTACATGCTCAGTGATTGGTTAAAGAATATACGCTGTAGATATATAAACAGCGGTTTGACCAATGAAAAATATACTTTGGCTTTCGTGTCTTGCCTTCTATTGTTACATATCCAGTTGACAAATTCTAAATAAATAATGAGGAATCATACACCCTGGATTTCATATCTAGCCACCACTAAATCATGGATGTTATTTTTGTTGTTGTTGTTATTTAGTAGATGGATTAACAGTATACAACACTGTGTCAATGAGCTAAGCAAATCTAACCTATAAATTGCCCAGCTAACGGAGATGGATAGGATATACAATAAGGAGGCTGTTGAGCAGCAGGCAGACACTTGAATGACACCAGAATGGAAAAAAAATAGCGAGTTGGGCTTTGTTCCGACTATGATGTGGAGAAGATGGTGTGAGAAGGAGAAGAAGACTTTTTGGACAATCATTGAGCCGGCCAGAAATGACTGCAGAGAACATGATGACATGGAGTTCTTCTGTTGAAATCA